TGGTGGAATCTCCCCGAAACGGGGCCCGACGCCGCGTCTCCTGCATCGGCAGGCGGACTCTCAACCACTGCGCCACCAGGGAAGCCCTGGGACCTGTCTTTGACTGGCCTCTTTACTCTTCACTTCCACCCTTCAATGTTCAGGCAACTCCACAGACTGCTAATGACTTCTCAACAACGTCTGAATTTAATCCTTTCTCTTTTCCAAGGACTCTTCCTTTCATATCTGAATTACAACAGTGCTGGCTGGTCTCTGTGCCTCCAACTACACTGCTCACTGATTAATTCTTGAAAAATCCCATTGTTACCAGGTCACAATGACTTACTACTGACAACTGAACCAAAATAAACTCCTCAGGGGCTTCTCTGGTGGCGCAGTGGTTAAGAATCCGCCTGCTAACGCACAGGACACAGCTTCGAGCCCTGGTCCGGGAAGATACCACATGCCGCGGAGCAACTAAGCCCGTATGCCACAACTACTGAGCCTGCGCTCTAGAGCCCACGAGCAACAACTACTGAGCCCGTATGCCACAACTACTGAAATCCACGTGCCTAGAGCCCGTGCTCCTCAAGAGAAGCCACTGCAATGAGAAGCCCGCGCACCACAACGAAGAATAGCCCCCGCTCACCACAACTAGAGAAAGCCCACACACAGCAACAAAGACCCAATGAGGCCAAAAATAAATAAATGAATAAATAAAATAAATTTATAAAAAACAAAAAAACAAAACAAACTCCTCAGTATAAAAGCCCTCAATGAACTATCCTGTTTATTTCTTTCTATTCCTCAAAATACCTCTTCCCAAACCCTGCCAGCTCCAGAGAGGTGGTTCTTCTTTTTAAAAAAATTAGAAACTCTCTCGTGCTTCTAATTCTTTTGGACCCCTCTCCACTAACCTTGTTACCAAGCTCATAACTCCCATTATTCCATTCATTTGTTTGTTCATTTAAGCATTTACTAAATCACCTATTATGTGCCAGGCCCTGAGCCAGGCACTAGGGACACTAAAAAGCCATGGTTCCTGCCTGGTCTTCCACGAAAACGTCTCTGAGTAAACAGTCACCCTATGACCCCTTTCTTACTTCTCATTTCTCTAGTAGCTTTGAACAAGACACATTCTTATTCGCTTAGATGCTAACTTAGAACTGTTCTCTAATTGTCCTATGCCTGATCTTACAGCCTTTTAAAGGTATCTTATAGGATCAATATCTTCTACGTCTTTGGTACAGCGCATAAAACCTAGTACAGTACTAGGCAGCTTGTAGGTATTTAAGAGACATTTATTGGTTTGAAAAGTTAGATATTGATTTAAGGCAATGGTTGTTAAATGGGTCACAGAACTTATTAAGAATCTGATAAAAAGTTATGGCCCCTCTCCCTAGAAAAGCAAACTTATGAACTTATACCCAAATTCTGCATAGTTTGTGGGAAGAGAAAAATCACAGAATTCCTGAAGCCTATCCATAGGCCCCTGACAATGGACGCAGCTCCAAAGACCCTAAAACCAGTAACTTGGGGGTTGGGGGTTTTTGTTTTCCTTTATAATATTCAACCAATTATGTAAGTTATATTTTAATTTTAAAAACCTTCCACCAGTAAACAAAGATCAAAGTTAGAAATGCACATATGCTTTGAACCCAGCATTTTCATTTCTAAGAATTTATCTGGCAGAAACACAAGCACAAAAGCCAAGGTATACATATATGGTAACACTCCTGAACTGTATACTTAAAAATGGTTTAGGGGACTTCCCTGGTGGCGTAGGGGTTAAGAATTCACCTGCCAATGCAGGGCACACGGGTTCGATCCCTGGTCCAGGAAGATCCCACATGCTGCAGAGCAACTAAGCCCACGCGACACAACTACTGAGCCCACGAACCACAACTACTGAAGCCTGCACACCTAGAGCCCTGTGCTCCGCAACAAGAGAAGCCACCGCAATGAGAAGCCCGCACACCGCAACGAAGAGTAGCCCCCGCTCGCCACAACTAGAGAAAGCCCGCATGCAGCAATGAAGACCCAACACAGCCAAAAATCAAGAAAATTTTTTTAAAAAATGGTTTTGATGGTAAATATTGTATGTACAACTAGAGAAGCCCGCATGCAGCAATGAAGACCCAACACAGCCAAAAATCAAGAAAATTTTTTTAAAAAATGGTTTTGATGGTAAATATTGTATGTATTTTACAAAAAAAAGTTTTTAATATATACATATAAGGATGTTAACTAAAACACCCCTTATAATGATTAAAAAATGGGATAAACCTAAATGACCAATTGAAAACTGGCTTTATAAATTTTGATGCACTCTAATTTTGGACTACTATGCAGCCGCTAAAAACAATACAGCAGCTTTATGTGTGCTGTCATGGGTGACATCCTGACACACAGTGGGGAAAACAATTTGCAGAACGGTACGCAAAATATGATTGTTTTTGGACTTAAAAAAAAATGTTTCTACATGAGATTGTGAGAGCGGCTCTATCAATGTAGAGATAAACATCTGGAAGTGCACGCACCCAAGTGCCAGCTGTAGACACCTGTGGGGACAGGGAACAGGGAGGCAGGACTGCCATTTTCTACTGTTATATTGCTTGGCTTTTTTTAAAAACAAAGAACAGATATTACTCTTATAACTTAACCAATCTCCATTCTACTCCCCCCCAGATATTCAGCCAGAATATAACTTTAATTTTTATGTCTCCCTTTAAATTCTGAGGGAGTAATGTGAAGGCTGTTCCCCTTCTGGGAACCCATTTCTCTGGAAGCTAATGCTGGACATAGCAAAGGTTATTACTAAGAGAGCAAGGTCCCCACGCCAGTGAACATCAATCGAGGCCGTTCCCACAAGTCTTCCTGAAATAGTGCTTCCTGTTCTGTTCTCCTGCACCTTGGGTCTGTCACAAAGGGTGACAGCAGCTTGGAAGAAAGGCAGCCACTCTTATCTTAAGAAAGGACCCTGGGAACATTGAGTGCCCTCCAAGCTAACTATGAGTCTTGGGCCAAGTTTGGCCTTCGACTGGCTCAAGAGGTTGCTTCAAAATATCTCATAAGAGGAAAAGAAGAGCATTTGGGCAAGACACAAAGCAGCTGCTGCCTCCCTAGGGCAGAGAGGAGAGAGCAAAGCGCTCTTCTTACCTGTCCAGAGAGCGGCCAGAGGGCTCCTGGCGCTGAGCCACCGGGGAAAGGTAGAGGCCCGTGCTCTCCTCCCCGAGTGTGCATGGCGGTGACGCTGGCAGGTAAACAGCTGTCCAGAGGTGCAGCGCCCGGACGTGACACACGGGGTGCAGGACCTAGGGAAGCAGCCCCGTACGTGCGTTCTGTGAGATGTTTCGGGGCCCCCGTCCTTCCTAAGCCTCTGGGCCCGAGTCCTTCCCTCTGACCCGGCCTTTTCTCCCCGTAGGTCCCCAAGACGCACCTACGGGATAAGGGTGCGGACTTACCATCTCTGAGCCTGATGTGTACAGGAAGTTGTGGAAGTTCTTGTTGCCAGCTCGCAGAAGGGCCCACACGGAGCAGGTCCGCTTGTAGATGTTGCGCTTCTCTCGCTCACAGGGGTTGTTGGCCAGGAACGTGCCGTAGAGACAGGAGTATGTGTGCTGCACCAGCTTCACCTAGACGGCCAAGACAGCTTGCACCGGGCCCGGGCTGCCGGCCCCCACCCTGGCCCCAGGCTCATGGGCTTAACAGGCTCACGGACTTACCAGGAACGCTTCATTAAACTCAAACAGGCAGGGAAACTGCTTGAGCAACTGGTGAACAGAATCAAGCCACTGGAGGAACACAGGGCACTGCTCGTTCTGGTCCTCTGCGTCCTCCTGGTGGCCGCAGCGGTCTCCAAACTTGTGCCCAAAATCCAGCCAGTCAGATTCTACTAACACTTGGAAACCCTGCAACACAGAGGAGGTTCAAGTGTAGGGCCTCTCTGGGAAGGCTACTGTGCTCCTTCCAGGGATGCCCGAAGCAGGGCGCTGGCAGCTCCAGTGAAGAACACGCCCAAACCTAGAAGGGGACTTAAAGCCACCAGTGTCCTCTATGGAAAGATCCCCCAAACGGATCCAGAGGGCCTAGTACCTTCCCCAAACGCCCCCTTCCCTCTGCTCTTTCCCACCCAACCCCTCCGAATACCTCCAACGTCCTGTAATACGGGTCCAGTAGTATTTTGGCCAGGGCTACGATCTGCGGCGTCCGGTCCCAGCCATCTGAGCAGTGCACCAGCACAGGCCGGCCCTCCCGGTCTACGGTGTTAGCCACGAGCGCAGCTGCTTTCAGCATCACCGACAGGTGCTGCAGCCATTTGGTGCTCTCCAGAGCCGACAACCAGCTACAAGAGAGCACAGGTCACATCTGTCACTAAGGGCGTCGAGGCTACAACAGTCTCTCTGCCACCCACGGCCAGCCACACCTTAGCAAAGTCCCCAGTGAGAGCTGAAGCTAAGAGGCCCAGCCCATGGCCTTTCTGCCAAGAGGTGTCTAGCAAGAAGGTAGGGAAAATGGGACCTGGGGTGGACAACACACTCTTTGGAGCAACAGAGGAACTTGGAAGCATCACACGCACATCTAGAGGCCACTTTCTCTCCCCAGTTCTCTGCGTCCTTGAGGACAACTCATCAAAACACAAGGAACCCAGTGTCCCGTGGCCGCTCCAAAGCGCTGGCTGCGAAGTGGAAGAAGTGTTCTGGGAACTAGAGCCCATTGCACCCAGGCCCTCGGGTTTCCTGTGCCTCACACTCGCCAACTCCCCACCAGACCTTCCAAGCACGAGAAGTACTGGGTAAGGGACGAAACTCGAGGGTGGATGGAATCAGAACAGGGAACACCTACTTGCTGGGATCGGGCATCTGGCTACACACAGCGCGGAGGTACTGGAAGCTGTTCCGGATGGCATGGATGTTGGCCATTCCCATGAATACGACCTCACAGTTGGGGTAGTACTCTGCACACATAAGAGGCGAGTGGGGCATAAGAGCATGTTCTGGAAACAGGCATCCAGGACAAGAGCAGTCCAGTGGGCAAAGCTTCCCTGGCGGGGCAGAACACTCCAGGATGGGAACTCAATAGACTCTGGAAATCTAAATACCCTTTTACCTCTGGATGCTCAAGTGCCATATACTAATAGTGATAACAATAACATTAATGACAATGATGCTCGAGTACTACTAGTAATGACAATATATAGTAAATCCTCAACAAACAGTATCTGCTCTGTGCCAGTTAACTTTATATATGTAACCTCTATCGTCCAACAACTTTGCAAGGCATGTTTCATCCCCATTTTACAGATGAGAAAGTAAAACTCAGACAGATTAAGCAATTTAAGCATAGTCCATAGTCACAGCCACTGAGTGGCAGAGTCCTGATCCCAGGCCAGGTTTGTTTGGCTCTTTCCACTACACAAGCTGTCCCCAAAGCCACCAGAGCACAGGCTGGCTGCAGACACTGAGGTAACAGCAATACCTTCACATTCACAACCTCCACCCTTGGCCCGGTTGGCCACCGCCGCCGTGTAGGATCGGGCATCCAGAATCAGCAGCTTCTGGGGGGCAGCTGTGCTCTCCACTCCAGAGCATGCAGTCAGGGAGGAATCTAAACACACACACAGCAGGGAGAGGACCCTGGGTCAGCCATCTCTGCCCAGGCGCACCCCACCCTGGAGCACTCCCTTTGATGAGACCCCTCACACCCCATCACCTTTTCGTCCCCACCAAAAGACAGGGACCCAGACACCTTGTGTGTTGTCGTCTTCTTCCCACCCTCTCACTGGGGACTCCCTTGGAGCCCAGGAGGCCAAGCTGGGAGCCTAGTCCCCAGGGGGCCGACACCACCCACACCTTACCGAAGTCAGCGTCACATGCCTCGCCAGCATCACTATTCCCGGTGCTGACAGAGCCCCCAGTGGTCCTTGTCCCTGGGTCCAGGGCACAGGCTTTAGCAATGGACGTGACTAAGTACTCATCATCGGCATTGCGCCAGCCCCACCAGCTGATCTCGGGCTGGCTGCAGCGGGCGATGGCAGCCCCGTTGCGTAGGTGTCTGACAAAACAGAAGAGACCATCAGGCCCTTGGCATTCACAGCCCCCAGAGGCCTACTGCTGAGACCCTAGGGGGCCAGACCAAGATCTCCAGAGCCAACAGGGGCCACCAGATCATCCAGGCTATGATAACAGCAACCAAAAGCCCTTAACATCTGGAGACGGCTTTACAGTTTACAAAGCACTGTCACACGTATTTCTCAAATGGGCTGTGTATTCCCAAGGTGACCTGGACTCATCAAATCTGCACAGCACCTGCTCCAGGTACAGACACCCAGCAGGAGAACAAGCCTGGGCCCAGAGCATGAACGACTCCAAATCTCATGGCTACTACCTGCCTCACAAATGTTTTTTCGTAAAGAACCAGGCAATAAATTTTCATCTTTGGGAGTCACAGCCAGTCTCTGTCGCACATTCTTCTCTCTGTGTTTTCTTTTTTTAAATAACCTTTTAAAATTGTAAAAACCGGGACTTCCCTGGTGGCGCAGTGGTTAAGAATCCGCCTGTCAATGCAGGGGACACAGGTTCGAGCCCTGGTCTGGGAAGATCCCACATGCCACAGAGCAACTAAGCCCGTGCGCCACAACTACTGAGCCTGCGGTCTAGAGCCCACGAGCCACAACTACTGAAGCCCGCTCACCTAGAGCCCGTGCTCTACAACAAGAGAAGCCACAACAATAAGAAGCCCGTGCACCGCAACGAAGAGTAGCCCCCACTCGCCACAACTAGAGAAAGCCTGCGTGCAGCAACGAAGACCCAATGCAGCCAAAAATAAATAATTTTTTTTTTAAATGTAAAAACCATTCACAGTTCACAGGCTATACACAGAACAGGACACAGGCCGGATTTGGTTCACAGGCCATGGTTTGCCAACCCCTGTTCTAAAGCAATGTCACACACACACACACACACACACACACACACACACACACACACACGCAGGTCCTAAAAAGAAAGAAAGAAAACAGAGAGAGAGAGAGAAAGGAAGGGAGGGAGGAAGAAAGGAAGAAAGAAAAATCTATAAACTCCCCAAAAGCCTCGTCCTCAGGAGAAAGAAAACTGAAGCAGTTTTTCTTTTAAAATTATTTCATAGCCACTTCCCGGAAGAATGTCAATTCCCAGCCAACCACACTGCCGCAGACCCTCCACTTCTGACCCTCCTCACTGCACGAAAAGCATCCCCCACTTCCCCGGCCCCCACCGCCTCACCTATACACAACCACAGGGACCCGCTTCCAGGAGCGGAAGGAAGCCACATTCTGCAGCTCTTTATCTGTGATCCACACGGGAACCAGCAGCTTCTGGGGGTAACTGGGGCATAATCTGAGAAGAGACCAGATGGGGTCATGGAACTTGATTAAAGACCTGTGATCACAAGATCCCCAGGGATGACCCTGTGGGCAAAGGGACCAGGAGCCCTCCTCCCCTCACGGAGCCAGGAGCTGTGCCCACCGTGCTTTATCCACATGGGGAGGAAGTCTGGCTCTGGACAGGTGTTTTGGTTCCCCACCCAAGACCCTCTCACTTGTAGTTGCTGTTGATATGCGAGACTCTCCAGACGTTCTGCAGGTCAAAGCCCATCCTCGCAAGCTCGGCCTCCTGCCAACATCGTATGTGCTCTCCTGCAACACAGCCCCCGTGCCTGTCAGCATCCAAGAGCACGGGGTCCAGGGCGCAGAAGGGGTGAGAAGCAAGAGACAAAAAGAAGTCTCCTAAAGAGAGCAGCCTGGCCTCACCTGGCTGACACAGGTGGGTGTGCTGGTCCTCCTCAGTCAGCCCCAGGCACCAGGCATGGTAGGCAAAGGCAAACAGGTCCTCAGGCTTCGCAGGTCTCGCCGTGGCCCGACTTAGCCGCGAGAGCCACTCTTGGCACTGCTTGAAAGTGGAGAAGTGGCACCTGCCAGGCAAGAAGCCACGAAGTGAGGCAAGAGGTGAGTGAGCTCTGGGGCCATAAGGGTGAGAGACCCAGCCACAAAAAGGCTGTGGGGAGGGGAGACTGCAAAGCAGGAGGTAAGGCATGGGGACCCTGGGGAGGACCAGGGAGACTGGGCAACACCCAAGGGCCATTGTCTTGCTGTGACAATTCTCTTCCCAAGAACTCTTGTCCTTGGTAAGGATCCCCTCTAATGGGGCCCGACCATTTCTTATATCAAATCTGAATGCTATCAAATCTGGCCCTGAATGTCTGCTACCCCTTGTGTCTTCTCCCATGACTCTCCAGCACAATCCTTCTGTTTCAGGGACGAAGTCCTACCCATGTCATTCCTGTCTCCTTGGTTTTTCACTTCTGCTTAATAATGTCTCCTCTCAGCCTAGCCATGTCCTACTGATACTCTGAAGAAAGTTGCAGTTCCACCTCTTCCTTGAGGCCTTCCGAGCCTAACCCATTCCACAGACCCCTTCCTCTGTTATTCTTAGTATGCTGGGAGTATTAAACAGTAAGTTTTCCCAGAGCATATTGCCACAGGTTAAGTCTTCCTTTAGCAACTAGACTTTAATCTCCTTGAAGGGAAGGGCAATGCAGATTCCTGTTCTTAATGCCTACAGACCCGAGTACATGGCAGGCTCTAAACTGGGCATCTTTTTTTTTTAATTAATTTTTACTGGCATATAGTTTACAACATTGTGTTAGTTTCAGGTGTACAGAAAAGTGAATCAGTTATACATATACATCTATCCACTTCTTTTTTAGATTCTATTCCCATGTAGGTCATTACAGAATATTGAGTAGAGTTCCCTGTGCTATACAGTAGGTTCTTATTAGTCTGGGCATCCTTTTAATTACCCTTGGAGTGATTCCTCTTTCTCTCATATCCAGTCTGTCAGCAAATCCTATCATCTCTACCTTCAAAAATCTGACCACTTCTCACCATTTTGATTGCTACCAACCTGGACCAGCCACATGATTTCTCACCTGGGTAACTGCAATAGCTCCTTAATTAGTCTCCAGTTTCTGCCCTAGCTTTTGTCCCCAACCTTCTTCCATCTTTTCTCAATACAGCAGCCAGAGTGATTCTATAACAGACACGTCACTCCTTTGCTCAAAACCCTCCAGTGGTTTTCTCACTTCCCTCAAAGTAAAAGCCAGTCATTATGACAGCCTGACACCCCTCTTACCTCTCAGATCTTGTATCCCACTATCCTGACCCACTTGCCCTCCACTCCAGCCACACTAGCCTCCTTGCCATTCTTCCATTGTGCCAGGCTCATACCCACCTCAGGGCCTTTGCATGCACTGTCCCCTGTCTGCCACACTCTTCCCCCAAATACCCACATGGTCACTTTCTTCAAGTCTTGACTCAAATGCCACCTTTTTAGTGCAGGCTTCTCTGATCACTTTGTTTAAACCTACAACCTTCACCCCCATAGCACTCCGTATCCCCTTTCCCTGCTTTATTTTTTAACTTTACATTACCATGATTTAACATATTTTACTTACTATTTACCACTCCTATCTCCCCACTGGAATATAAGCTCCATGAGGGCAGAAAATTTTGTCTGTTTGTCCCCTGCTGTATCCCCAGTGCTTAGAACAGTCTGGCATAGAGTAGAGTGCTCGATAAATACATGTTAAATGAATAAATACACGAACCAACAACAATGTGAGTGCTCTGCACCAGATATCACCCTATGTGCTCTCAGCTGCATCTTCTCATTTAATCCTTATGAAAACTCTGTGAGCATTATCCCCATTTCTTTAGGTCGAGACACTGTGGATCAGAAAATTGACCCCCCAACCCAGTCAAGGTTTTCACTGTTTCTTCCAAATGGGGAAAGGGAGGCAGTATTTTTCCTTTCTTGCTCCAGAGGAACCCTGCAGCAGAGAGGTCTGGACAACACTAGGGCCAGAGGACCTGAGCGAGGCTCCGTCGTTCTCACCTCACCACTTTGGAGTCCTTGCAGGCGATGTGCAACTGGAACATATCACGGCTCTCCACGCTGTCAATCATCCGGAGGGGGACCTGGAGAGGAAATGCAGACTGGCGCTCATATCCCCCTACTCCGCATCACTCCTCATCCCCGCCCCCGCCCAGATGCTGATGTATCAACAGAAGGAAGGGAACCAACATTTACTGTGGGCCTCCTAGGTGCCTGGTAACGGTGCTGGGTCCTCCACATATGTGACCCCAATTAATAATCACAAGAAACCACAAGGCAGGTGTTTTCACACCATATTATCAAGGAGGAAATTGCACCTCAGCTGGGTGATTGACCAAGGTCACACAGTTGGTAAGTGGCACTCTTCCAACAAAGCCACTGTGCCCCTAGAAGGGCCAGCAACAGAGTGAGGGAAAGACAGAGAGGGGAAGGGAAAATTAAGTGAGAGAGACAGAAAGATAGACCAGCCGTTAGACGAAGGACAATAAGAAAAAGAAGGGAACCCCAACTCTTTGGAAACATGATCAAGTAGAGCATTGGAGCAATCCCACCTTGAATTTCACAGGGATTCTGGCTTGGGTGTGGGAGAACAAGACAGAAACTCACGTTGATAACAGAATCCTTGAACTTGATATGCAGCCGGTAGTTGGAGATGGCAATGAGGGCATCGGCTGCGCGGCCCAGGAACTCCACTCCCTCACCCTGCAGCACTGTGAAGGGCACCTGCCGAGGGGCAGAGGGGCCCTCAGTCCAGAAGTCAGTCACCTCTCCATCCCCTCTCCAACCCCTGGTCTGTAGGATCTCCTCTGGAAAAGCTGGGCCAAGGCAGGACAAAAGTTCTCTCCATGGTAACAGCACCAGACAACAGCTATACAGGAAAGCTGCCTTTCCTTCCCTGGGGCCAAAGGCTCCATAATGCACATACAGACAGGCTCCCCTCCCTCCAGAGACCAAGGAGCAGGAAGCCAGAGCTCCCACACTAGATGCCCTTGGAGATATCTGGGTTGCGGGAGGGAAGGGAGGGTGTTTTTTAAGCAGGCGGGAGCTCTACCCACCGTGGGCCCCCAACGCTTCCTTACCTGCAGATTCTCCTCCTCTTTCACTAGTTCCTTGGGGGGGAACAGATCCTTGGCTTGGATGTACTCCAGGCTGGGGGGCCCCTCCTCACCCTGTGGGGAAGGCCTCAGCCCTAAGTCACCAGGCTCCGCCTGGCCCATTAGGCCTCATTCTGCTCCCCTCCCCTCAATAAACCCACATACACCCCATACACACTTATAAAGGTTCTGGTCACCAGAGAATGGAAGAGAGACCTGGTTTGGCGGGAGGGGGGAAGTGGAGGGGGAACTCAATCCTCTTAAGCCCAAGAGAAGAGTAAGGTCCACAGAGTAACTGGGAGCCTGCGCTCCTCAAAGAGGGAATCTCCTGTAGAGCCAAATTTCCCAAATGAAGGAGAAAAAATGAAGGAAAAGAAAGGCGAGTGCAAGGGTAAGACAGAAGTGGGAATGGGAAGTGCTGCCCTGAGGAACAGGAACCAGGTGTGCAGCTGGCCACAGAGACAGGAGGGGACGCAGGCCCCTGAGGCCACTCCACTGAGGCTTCAATCTGGTGGGTGAAGGAGACAAAGAGGAGTGGGTCACGGGATTCAGTCCCATGCCTCTAGAGGGCCTTCACGGATGCTTTCAAAAAGAGGATGTGTTTTGGAGCTGAGCTTCTCTTCCAGTTAGGCCCACACTGCTAATAAGCTCCTGCCACCTGCCAAGCAACCTGCCCCGACGGCTGATCTGAGGGGAACTCCTGAGGAATACCCACAGCAAGCAGAAGTAACTCCTTTCCCAGCCACCAGGGAGGGGGGGGAGAAGAGGGGATCCACGTGCCTGGGAGGAACCAGGGGACCCAGGACAGCCAGGGGAGAGAGAGAGAGGAGGTCTGGCAGATACTGGAGCCTTACCCTAAACCGTGCCCTACTCCTAACTCACACACTAACACTAACCCGTGACCTAACACGTACACTAACCCTGAACCGTTGTCGTACCCTAACCTGTACCCTAAACCGTCCATGTTCCCTAACCATAACCCTAATCTTAACCTTAACCCAACCCTTACCTGAAGCCTTACCCACAGTCAAGGAGAAGAGACAGGCGTGTCAGGTGAGGGATGGAGTGGTGGAAGGGGGAGGGGACTGGAGCCAGGGAGACAGCTCAGACATCCTGTGCTCCCCGACCAGCCCCGTAACATCCCAGACGGCCTACTAGCCACATCCCACATCCCCAAGCAAGGATGCAGCGGGTGGGCCCAAGATGGAGAGGCGGAGGTAAAGGGATGTACCCCTGCAGGGCGGGGCCTGAAGATCCGCAGTCAAGGGCAGCGGCTTCAGGGCTAAAATGATGGGTCACAGAATTCCAATCCCCGGCCTTCGACAATCCCCGGCACCCGAAGATTAAAGCAAGTCCAAGAAAGAAAAGGGATTATGTCCCTTCCCCTGCCAGGGCCCTTGGTAAGGGGGATGGGCTGAAATTCGGGATCTCAAGGGCCGGCCCTGGGAAGGGCGGCGGGTGCAGCCAGCGTCGGGGTCCCTGGCCCGCCGCAGGCGGGGCCGGCACTTACGAAGCAGCTTAGCATGGAGCAGGAGACGCGGGCGGTCAGGCTCATGGTCGCGGGCGGTCTGGGCCAGCGCACATGTC